CTACCCTCCAACGGGAGTTGGACGACATGCGCCATCGAGTGCGCACAATGGAAGAAATGTACGCCGAGGCAACGCGGGCCAACTGAACAGGATCTTCCTCCAGTGCCCCGAGGAGAAGAAGGACCAAGATCCGTCTCTCCACCCTGATGACCACGAGCCTATTGCCAACACTGAAGGGGTGGATTATAGCCTGCGGGACAATGATCTTAGAAAGCACCTTGCTGATAAAAAGAAGAGAGCATCGCGAGGTCCGGAAGTCTCTCCGTCTTACTCCCGAGAGTTCTCCAACTCCGACCTCAAGGCTCAATCAAAGTACAAGCCTTTAACACCAGAAGCTGTGATCACCAGGGAAGAGTTCGACCTGATGAAGCACAGGTTCGACGAACAGGTCGAGGCGCTTAAGGCTAGGTGCGAGAAAAAAGAGAGCTCGTTTGACGATGGCGACCTGGGAGAATCGTCATTTACCTCAGACATTTTGGAGGCTCCAATCCCTTCAAAGTTCAAGACTCCCACCATGAAGCCTTATGATGGGTCTAAGGACCCAAAAGACTATGTTGAGGTATTCGAAGGCCTCATGGATTTTCAGGCGGCAACAAATGCAATCAAGTGTCGCGCCTTCTAGATTGCGCTCACCGGCAGCGCGCGCCTGTGGTATTGAAGACTGCCGGCCAGGTCGATCTCGACCTACTCCCAGCTGAGGAAAGAGTTTATCAGTCAATTCTCTTCTCGGCACTATGACAGAAAGACAGCAACTCACCTCGCCACCATCAAGCAGAAGGAAGGTGAGACGCTGAGAGAGTATGTCACAAGGATCCAGGAAGAGTAGCTGAAGGTCGCGCACTGCTCTGATGACTCGGCCATGTGCTACTTCCTCATCGGCCTGGCCGATGAGACCCTCACTGTGAAGCTTGGAGAGTAGGCTCCAGCCACCTTCGCCGAAGTTTTGCAAAAGGCAAAGAAAGTCATTGATGGGCAAGAGCTCCTCCGAACCAAGACTGGCCGACCTGAAAAGCAGATCGACCAGAAGAAGCCTAACCAAGAGAAGAGGAAGGCTGATTCCAAGTCTAAGGACAAGGGGTTGTCCTCCTCCAGCAGCCGAGATGAGTATCGCAGGTCTGATAGCGGCCCCAGCCGAAGCCGACCTTACGAGCGTTATACTCTAACCACCATCCCCATATCTGAAATACTTACAAACATTGAGGAAACTGGGATGGAAAAGCTCCTCAAGCGACCTGAGAAGCTCCGAGGAGACCCAGAAAAGCACAATAAAGATAAATATTGTCGCTTCCATCGTGATCACGACCATAATACGTCAAGTTGCTGGGAATTGAAACGCCAGATTGAAGACCTCATTCAAGATGGCTACTTCAAAAAATTCGTTAGCAAACTGAGGTCTAACTCGGTGGAAAAGAAAGAAGAGAGGAAGCGTTCAAGGACACCGCCTCGTCGAGATGACCGACTTGCGGTCATCAACACTATTTTCGGAGGCCCAAGTGGGGGCCAATCTGGAAATAAAAGAAAAGAGCTAGCTCGCGAAGCCAGGCGCGAGGTGTGCATCATCAGGGAGCAGAAACCAACTTGCTCCATTACCTTCGACGATACCGACCTGGAGGGGGTCCACTTGCCCCATAATAATGCACTTGTGATCGCCCCTCTCATCGATCACATCCTGGTCTGGAGAGTATTGGTAGATGGAGGCGCATCTGCTAACATCCTGTCCCTTCCAACATATCTTGGCTTGGGGTGGACCAGGTCACAACTGAAGAAGAGTCCAACACCCTTGGTCGGATTCTCTGAAGAATCAGTCTCCCCAGAAGGGTGTATTGACTTGCCGGTCACGATTGGGCAAAATGATACACAAGTAACTCAGATGGCAGAGTTCGTCGTGATCGACGGCAGATCGGCCTACAATGCCATCTTCGGAAAACCCATTATACATTCGTTCCGGGCCGTTCCCCTCAACACTTCATCAAGTCCTGAAGTACTCAAGTCCTATTGGAGTGGGCACGGTCCGAGGAGAGCAGAAAACTTCAAGGGAGTGCTATGCCTCCGCGCTCAAATGGTCATCAGTATGCGCCCTAGAAGAACAAGCCAATTGGGACGAATTGCCAAAACTCGAGGCTGACCTACCGAAAGTAGGTAAAAGGGAGTTCTCAGCACCAACAGAGGAGCTCGAGCTTGTTCCTTTGCTTAGCCCTGAAAGACAAGTAAGCATAGGAACCAAGCTGGGGGCCACTGATAGGGAGGAGTTGATCAACTTCCTCAGGTCCAACTTGGACGTCTTTGCATGGTCACACGAGGACATGTCAGGCATCGACCCAAAGATCATGGTGCATCGCCTCAACATAGACCCATCATTCCAACCTGTGAAGCAAAAAAGAAGACCTGTAAATAAGGAGAGGAGTGATGTAATTGTTGAGGAGGTTAACAAACTATTAAAAGCTGAATATATAAGAGAAATTTTATATCCCGAGTGGCTCTCTAATGTTGTATTAGTTAAAAAATCCAACGGGAAGTGGAGAATGTGCGTAGACTTCACAAATTTAAACAAGGCATGCCCAAAAGACTGCTTCCCTCTGTCAAGGATCGACCAGCTCGTGGACACAACGGCCGGACACGAGCTGCTCACCTTCATGGATGCCTACTCCAGATACAACCAAATCAAAATGCATGTGCCAGACCAAGATCGTACCGCGTTCATAACAGACCAAGGTCTGTACTGCTACAAGGTGATGCCCTTTGACCTAAAGAATGCGGGTGCGACCTACCAAAGGATGGTGAACAAAATGTTCGCCAAGCAGATCGGTCGGAATATGGAAGTATAAGTGGATGACATGCTTGTCAAGAGCAAGTAGTCAAAGTCGCATCTTTCCGATCTGACCGAAGCCTTTGGAGTTCTGTGGAAGTATCAAATAAAGCTCAATCCAGCCAAGTGTGCCTTTAGAGTCTTCTCGGGGAAGTTCCTTGGTTTTATGGTAAACAACCGTGGGATCGAAGCCAACCCAGAGAAGATAAAGGCCGTGCTCGAGATGGAAGCACCCAAAACTTTGAAGTAGCTTCAATGCCTCAATGGAAGGATTGCAGCTCTGAACAGGTTTGTCTCAAGGTCAACCGATAAGTGCCTTCCGTTCTTCAAAGTCCTGAGAAAGAAAGGGTCTTTCGAATGGACAATAGAGTGCGAGCAAGTGTTAGAACAGTTAAAGAACTATCTCTGCTCGGCACCTCTGCTCGCCAAGCCATTGCTAGGAGATCAGCTCCACTTATACCTGGCGGTGTCTGACAGCGCCGTCAGCTCGGCCCTAGTCAAGCAGGAGGGATTACGGCAAAGTCCCATTTATTACATAAGTAAAGCCATGACCGAGGCCGAGACTAGATACCCCCAAATGGAGAAGCTGGCCCTCGCCTTAGTCACCTAAACCTGAAGACTTAGGCCGTACTTCCAAGCGCACACAGTTGTGGTACTTACCAACTTGCCCCTAAAGAACATCTTCCATAAGCCGGAAACATCAGGGCGCCTCATGAAGTGGGAAATGAAGTTGAGCGAGTACGACATCCAGTTCGAGCCCAGAACTGCGTTGAAGGGACAAGCAGTGGCAGCCTTCATCGCGGAGCTCACCCCATCATCTCAGTCGGCTGAGTCCGACCTTCCGTGGACGATTTACATTGACGGATTTTCCAATGAGAGGGGGTGCGGAGCAGGAATCCTCTTGCTCGCACCAGGTGGCATGCGGTTGGAGTATGCCCTACGGTTCAACTTTCGGACCTCAAATAATGAGGCTGAGTACGAAGCACTTCTGGCAGGCCTACGCGTTGCCAAAGGATTGGGGGTCGTCCACATCAAGGTATTTAGTGACTCCCAGTTAGTCGTAAATCAGATTAAGGAGGAGTATCAAACAAAAGACCCCCGAATGGAAAAATATCTAAGCAAAGTTAGATCGCACCTCGTCCAGTTCGAGACTTACGAGGTGAATCAAGTTCCAAGATCAGAAAATTTCAATGCAGATGCCTTAGCCGAATTGGCATTAGCATATGAGATAGATCTGGCCAGATCGGTCCCGGTCGAGATCTTGGACACTCCTTCAATCTTGGAGCAAGATGTGATGGAGGTTGACACTCCAGCACCCTCGTGGATGGATCCAATCGTGGAGTTCATCAAAGGAAATCCGCCGCAAGATTCAAAGGAGCAAAAGAAGATGGCGCGAAAAGTAGTTCGGTTCATACTCCGAGATGGAGCATTGTACCGACGTGGCTTCTCCCTGCCTCTACTTAAGTGTGTAACTCCTGAAGAAGGCATTTACATCCTTAGGGAAATCCATGAAGGAGTGTGTGGAAACCACTCTGGCGCCAGGTCGTTATCGGCCAAGGTGGTTCGACAATGGTTTTATTGGCCCACCATTAAGCAGGATGCAAAGCAGTTTGTGAAAACCTGCGACAACTGCCAGGGCTTTGCAAATATTATCCATCAGCTGCCTGAGCTGCTCACCCCCATCTCGGCCCCATGGCCATTCGTGCAATGGGGAGTGGACATTATAGATCCTTTTCCCCTAGGCAAAGGACAAACCAAGTTCGCCGTTGTCGCTGTGGACTACTTCACCAAGTGGGCCGAGGCCGAGGCGCTCACCCACATTACAGAGCCCAGAGTCACATCGTTCATATGGACAAACATCGTATGCCGTTTTGGTATACCGAACGCCATTGTGACAGACAACGGAAAGCAATTCGACAATGCAAAGTTCAAGGACTTTTGCAGAAAGTTGGGCATAAGCCATCTAAGTTAGTCTCCTGCGAATCCAAAAGCAAATGGGCAGGTTGAAGCGATAAATAAAATTATAAAACGAGGACTCAAGCTGAGACTAGACTCCAGAAAGGGAAGATGGGCCGAGGAGCTACCCGAAGTATTGTGGTCATATCGAACCACCCCAAGAGAGTCAACTGGCGAAACTCCATTCGCACTGGCCTTTGGCTCTGAAGCTGTTGTTCCAGTAGAAATCGACATGCCAACAGACAAGGTAGAGCAGTACGAGCCAACAAGGAACGAGGAAGAGCTACTCCTTAACCTTGATTTATTAGAAGGAAAAAGGGAAATGGCTCAGCTACGGTTAGTAGAGTATCAGAACAGAATGGCCAGACATTACAACGCCCGAGTTCGACCTAGAAGCTTTCAAGTCAGACATTTGGTCTTAAGGAAGATTCAAAATCATGTGGGCATCCTTGACCCAAGTTGGGAGGGACCCTTCGAGGTTAAAGGCATAGTCCGACCTGGAACGTATATGCTGGCCGATCTGGAAGGAAACGTGTTTGCACATCCGTGGAACGCGGAGCACCTAAAGTGCTATTACCCTTGAAATGTCAAAATGGTCCTAAAATGGACTTGTAAAAATTTTCAAGGGACGAAACTTTTAAAAAACGAAGGAGTTATTTAATTTCATGACTCCGAGTTTGATCAGAAATTAAATGGGGGCCACGGACTCCCATAAGATTTAAAACCGGCCAGGTAAAGGCAAAAATTGATTAAAATCAATCCTCAAAAGCCCACGGGTTCGAGGTGCGAAGTCAAAATCAATTACGAACCAAAATTCAATCCTTTGAACGCTTAAGTTAAAAGTGCGATGTGCAAGGTTCAAGAAATTCAATCCTCTAAACCCACGGGTTTAAGGTGCGATGTGAATATTAATTATGAACTCAAAATTCAATCCTTTGAACGTTTAAGTTAAAGGTGCGATGTAGAAAGTTCAAGTTGCTTAATATTATCTTTTGGACTTCCGAGTTCAAGGAGAAATATTGAAAACCAGTGAAAGAAACTCTCAAATTCAAACCTTAAAAACAAACACAAGTAAAAGAGGCAATGTGGAAAGAGTTCCTCCCAAACTCAATCCTTTAAGCTTACAAGTTAGAGGTGTGAGATGACATTTACAAAAGCAAGTTCAAAAGCTTAAGGAAAAAGCACAGACAGAGCGTGATGAACGGAAGTGGAGAAGTGAAGATTTCATTGATTAAAGGACAGAGCCAAGGCTTGTATGCCTAGCAACTTTGCCCAAAGACTTACAAAAAAAAAAAACAAATAAC